GAGAGAACAGAGATGAACATAGCAATATCGTTTTATGTTGATTACGTAACGCACAAGGCGACATACAAGACGATTTCATGACTTGTTGTTCTGTACTTAACAGTTTCTGTTTTAATTTTGGGGGACTAGGGATTATCATTATACATGAATTAATTCAGACTGTTATCCTCATTTTGTGTGTTTTTATATACACAACATTTCGGACGCTGTACCTGCCGGCCTTCTTCAGATTGTGGTCGTATTCATTATTTTCCACGGGGTTTCTGTCCGTTCCGTCCTATTAAATACGAGGAGAAATAGATATACAACAAAGAAATAATCAGTTACAATCGAGTAATAAAATAATAATAAAAAGTTTATAACAGAACGTATAATTTTATCTCAGCCAATGTTTTACGTAAATATGAAAACAAAAAACAATTCAGTCCATAAACGGCATAAATTACTAATAATGTTCAATGCTTGAACCTTGTGTCCAAATTTAGCTATGATTAATGATTACAGTGTTCAAACATTAAGCTCTATGCTTGTTTTGTGCTTATAAATGAAAAAATAAACATACTCACTACTCCCTCTTTATGATTGCTTTCTTTGCACCGTAATCTCTTAACAAATATGTCTGGTGACATTCCTGACTAATCATACGAAGACACAGGTTAAATTTGTTAAGGAATACTTGATAGGAATAAAATTACGGATTGCCAAGAAAATTGTATTTCAATAGTTGTTACTATTCAATAGAAATGAATCGTTTGATGAATCTGTGACGTCGGCGATTGGTTCGGTTAAATTGGCCATTGGGCTCAGTTCGCGGTAATGGCAGCTGCTAACATTAGAAGATATCAAGGGTGCAGAAACGTCATCTCAAAGATGTCGAAAGTGACACAAGGAATACGATTCTGCGAACAAGATCATCGGCTTCCTCACTACAATTAATACCTCTGTCATTTCAACTTTTCCTATTACGAGATATTCACTAACAGAGACCTCTAGCGTAATGACCCGATCAAAATCTGATTATTTCTTCATCGACATAATTTTCAAATCTCTTAAGAAACATCGGTTTAAACCTTTCATATTTGTTTTAATTGTGCTTATGACTCCGGTGTCACGGCTCATTTTTCTGATGTCCCTATTTTCTTATTCCGTACATAATCGGGCGCATGAACAAAAGTGATATGCAAGAGATCGAATACGATAAGCATCTGAAGAAGACCGGAGTATACAACGGCCAAAATGATGTGAATATAAAAACTGACAAAATTAAGAAAATACTACGAATTTCTTAGTATCGAATAAAAAACGAAACAAAAAATTTTGATTTAAAAAAAAATGTAACCTTAGTTAATACAATCCATTACGGAGAAAATTCCTAGAAGAAATATTAATAAATAACCAATACCAGAAGCACTTTTTCATATCACCAACATTCGTAAAACTTATAATTGAAGAATGCAAGTGGCAAACATTTACAGGTGATGCAACCTGCAATTAAAATGCACTAATAGACCCAATTTTAAATACTTACTTATCACTTAGTAGAATTGATTTATTAATCCGACAAAATTGTATCACTTTAAACGTTAATTTTAGTGGTAAGTGAATTTCAGGCCGGTAAGTGAATATAAATAGCACATTTATATTCACTTACCGGCCTGAAATTTCACTAAATCTTATTAATGAACGGTTTACGCTCCTCGGCATCTCTCAGGGATGAGAGAGCAACCGTTTAGCCTGGTGCGCCTATAGCGCTTTGGCCACAAATAGACGGTCAGGTGAAGGCAAATTTAATGGTTTCAGCCGAAATTTCTCTTGTCATAGATCTCTCGAAGATTTTTATATCTGCACACAGTTTCGTATTCAAACGTAAACAAAGAGAAAATTTGATTATCAAAAAATCGATATCGACCTTTCTAATAATTTTTAATATATTAAAAAAACGAACGTCCCAATAATTTCAGTCAGCAGTGCATATATATATATATATATATATATATATATATATATATATATATATATATAATAAAAAAATCCTAAATCACCTCACAGGGGGGAATAAGCTTATTTCGACCGACGAAAATTTAATTCATCAGTCTTATTCAACCTCGGTATAGACTGAGTTTGTGTCGGAAATAGGAATTTAACTGTGAAAGCTTAAAAAATTTAAAAAGTCACAAAATTAATAAGACGTTTTTTTTTTGTTTGTTTTTTTGGGGGGATTTTCTTTTTAGCTTTTACAGTTAAATTTCTATTTCCGACACGAACTCAATCTATAACGTGGTTGAATAAATATAAGAAATTATATTTTCGTCTGTCGAAATAAGCTTATTCGCCATATGAGGTGATTTGGAATTTTATTGCGTATTATTTTTTTGCTCTGTAATAATAAATACATTGAGCTCTTTTTGTGGATCAATTTTAATATTTTATATATATATATATATATATATATATATTGGATATAATATATAATGATAATATATATAAAATATATTGCAGATAATAAATTACACACGCTCTATCTCTCATATTGAACACTTTATCCCATAAATATAGCACACCTTAAGAGTATATTTCTTCATATATATATATATATATATATATATATATATATATATATATATATATATATATATAATCATGTATTTGGGCACCAATCCCCTCGTTCGTACAAGTTTCATTGAAGACGACTAACAAGGCACTGCGATTAAAAAAATTTTATTAAGTTTTTTTTGCATTCGTACAAGTGATTTCTTTTCTGGATTCTTTTTACACACTCTTATGTCCAGAAAAGAAATCACTTGTACGAATGCAAGAAAAATTTAATAAAAAGCTTAATCGTAGTGCCTTATCAGTCGTCTCATTGAAACAACAATTACACACACACACACACACACACACATATATATATATATATATATATATATATATATATATATATATATATATATATATATATATATATATATATATATACACATATGCTATGTATAACAATACGGTATATGTTTAGGTTAATATAGTAGAAAACTGAAGGCAGATGTAATGAATAACTCAATATATTGAAGACTCAGCAACTTTATAGTTGTTAAGCTACTTGGATTGCATTATAAGTACGAAATTTATTACTGAAATTTCTTATTTGCTTGGAATTTATTTAACAGCCTTCATTTGATCTGTACCTGATGCAGGTCCACAATATTTTCAGCCAATTTATTAGCATTCTATCCTTGGAGATAATAATTAGAAAATAATGATCATATAGTGCCGACTTGGAAGATTTCGACCGCAATTTTTGAGACTTGGAAAATTTTGAGAAGACAAAACGCAGCTTATAGAATGTTTCTCGTTCACACAACCACCATCCATTTCTTTATCAGTTGCTTGTTTATAATTTACCTTTTTCAAAAGACAAAACGGATAGTTTGTTGTTCTGTTTGAACGGCAGATGAGAGAGCCACTTTGCCAGCCTTTCGACATTTTACAGTTGGCTGCCTCCTCTTCCTCAAATGAGCACCTATGTAAACATGTGTAAATATAATTATACAAACGATTTCTCTTATGCTAAGACGTTCTGTCTCTTTGCTCCTATGCAAAGGTCACTTGCTTTCTGTTCACATTCATTCAACAGAAATTGTTTTCCTGATTATAACTGTCACAGCAGTTCGACGTGTAAGCGCTCGGCCTGCTACTCATCGATCATCATCTGTTCCCCTACATAAGGAGAGTACCGCCCATCACATGCCGACGTTTCGCCTCTGGATTTTGTCGTAGCTTCTCTTCTAAAGCAAATGCCATCAAAGTAATGAGCCAAAGCAAAAGAAAAAAAAAACACAAGCCAAATTGGTGAAATTTAGATTTTCTTTTTGTTTTGTATTTGGGCCGTTTTTGATTTCCTTTGATATTTCTACAGACGAATTCCTGATGTCTTGAAATTCCCTCTTCCAAATACATTTCACTTTAGTAAATTCGATATTTTTCTCTGCTTCTTTCAGTATCTTTCTTGTGAATATTTTACAAATACATTTTAACTATTTTAGTTAAAAACAAAACGAATTGGTCTTTCTTTTACTCGTCGATTCTTAGTTTTTTTTCTTTTATCCATTTTTTTAAATTTTTTTTTTACCGATCGAATCGTAACAGCCTTTAGCAAACCAATGATAGGAATGAAGTTTTTTTTAAAAAAGAAAAGCTTTAAACCCATTGCTCTGTCTACAGGTGAAGACATGTAGCTGACTCAAATTATTTAGTAAGCATCTTACATTGTTGCATATACTCACGTAGTCGAATTAAATTGAGTTTTCGCACGAAATGATTTCCGATATTTTTAACTGTTCGTCTTGATATTTAGAGTTCTAATAAAATAAAAGGCAATTCAGTTATTGACTAATTTTGCCGCTACCGATGAGCCCAACATTTTCCACTGAATGTTTTGAGCTTGAAGTTCTAATAATTTATTAATAAAAACTAAAAATGTTATTCGAAAAATATACTATACTCAAAGTAGAGGGATACTGAATGAGGTTGTCCTATGAGCAGAAAAGGAAAAGAAGGAGGTAAGAAGTGTAGTGTATGAGGATATGTAGGATAGATAACGGTTAACCCTAAACTTGAAGTGGTTAAGATTGTAGTGATCGGGAAAACATCTAGTCGGGTGTTTGTTCCACAAAGTAACGGGTCTTGTTCAGGTGGAACTTCCTTCTTATTAATGGAATACAATGAGACTGCTGGTGATTCGTCCCAGTATACGTGGCATAGCTGGTCTTAGCAGTGGAGGTTATAACTAAGGAATGTATCTCATCAAAACAATTGCCATGGAAATAGCGATAAAATGAGAGGCTTGCGACGTTTCGTCTGTTGGATTTTAAGGTGGGGCTATTATACTGAATCTTTCATGGTATTTCTCGGAACAATTTTGCTTTAATACTAAAATTTAAATCATTTATTATCTGTTACATGACGCTTCTGTCTGTTTTAGACGATTTTTTCTTCAATTTTAGAATGCTTCCTACGACTTAAAGGATGGTTCTGATGCCTGGCGAGGAATCACTCAATCGGGAGCCTGTTACCCCTACGAACCGTCAATGACATATTCTTATGGTGGAACGTAAGTAAATATTTTACATTAGCTTTTTAATCTGATTCACTCAGAAGAAATATCTTAAAATGAAAACAATAAATATATTGATTTAAAACATAATATAATCCTATTCGTTAATATGTCATGTATATTTTGTATTACGAATTATAATTAATCAATACGTATATATGTTCGTTATTAATTCAGAATAAAACAGTTATTGATGACACATTGAATCTCGTTCATACGAATAATAAACTAAAGACACGCTATGAGTCTGATGTTTAATTATCTCCCCAATTTATGACCTTGTGCCAGAATAGGATAAACTTCGTAAATATTTGAATGGATGATAAACTAAGCAAGACAATTTTAATATTATAAAAAATATATTTTTTATCTCTGAAATATAACAATGTCCAATGTCAATAAAACTAATTTCTCTACAAACTGTATATTTGAAAAGAATACATCAATGAAATTAGACTATCAACAAAAACCCTTTTTACAAAAAATACGTCAATGAAACCTGATCTACAAACTAATTTCTAACAAAGGATACATATTCTATTCATACGAATCTATCCTAAAAGTTTTGGCATTAAATAATCCATTGAGGTTGATATGACGTAAAGTAAAATAAACCAAACCATATATAATCCATACACACACGCACACATACATGACTGAAAAGTGTAATCTACTATAGAAAACTGAGATGATTTAACGAATAAATGTATCGGCAATCATAATTCATGTGTTCTGGTTGAGTTGAATCATTTTATGTAACCATACTATCTCATTTATTTTAACTCATTAATGGGTTTGTATATCAGCGTTTTATCATGGTGTTTGTTTTGGTTTTGATAAAATTTATTTTTTTCACATTGGCAATATTTTATTAAAAAAACGTTCAATATTGAACTAAAGCAATAAATATTTCGGCATCCCTTACCATTTTTAAGAATGATGAATCTATTTTAACTTCTTACGCCCATTAATATCAATATTGTGAAATTAACAGCAACAACTAGAGTTAAAATTTACCTATTTCTGAGCTAACTGTGGTGTTTTATAAGTTGTGCAAAGCAGATTTTTTTCTGCACTTACTATCAAGTATTTTAGATAAACAAGTATATAAAAAAAATATTACATTTATGTTTTATGCAATAGTGTTGCATTTTTAGCGTTTAAATCTGGTACATTGTGAGTATTAATTGCCTTGAGTAATTAGAGATTTTCCTTTTAAGAACTCATGGATAAAAGTCGTGGACAGAAATACACTATATAGTCTAATTTTTGCCCACGATTTTAATCCAGGTTTTGGTGTCCTTTTCTTTAGTTCTCATTAAAGTTAACGTTCATAATTTTAAATTGTGGTATACAAAAAAGAAAAAAAAGTTCTCTCTGAAAAAGACAACAAAATGCTTCTTTTTTTTCAATTGTTAGTTTCTACAACGAGAAACTTACTCTAATTTGTGCCTTGAACATTTAATCCAAAGATTGGCACTAACGAAATAGACATATCAATTCCCATTAGTTCTGAAAATTTTGGTTTGGTGGTAACTAATGAAAACTTACGAAACTGCCATCAGCTAATGCTGCCAAAAGTTTGAAGCAAGAAAAAATATCAAAGCTGCAAAAATCTGACAAATTAACTGGAACTGATCCCAAATTAACACGATGAATTAAGTTTATAGTTGGTAAGAAAAAAAGAAAGTGCAACTTAATCTTATTTTTTATTTTTTTAGGATTCCATACGTTAAAATTACAGACGTTAGCTTTTGTTGTAGTGTCACGAAGATGCCTTAAGCCAAAACAAAAATAAATAAAATAGAAACAACATATTTTTATCATTCCTATATTACTACGTATTGCCACAGATTAAAATCATTTAAATCATTTAAATATCTTCTTTAAAGTGAAAGCTGGGTTTCATTTGAAAGATAATAACCTATATTTTACGTATACGATTTTGAAACATTTCTAAACACATTAGCCCAGTCACTGATCCAAATAAATAAATAAAAAACAAATTTAAAAATCTATTAAAACCTCAATATTTGTCCTATAGATTTTTCTTAAAGTAAATTAGGAAATTTCAAGAATAATTAACATAATTATATAAAAATAATACTTTTTAAATAACGTTTATTTATACACGGTAGCCTTTTATCAAGGTCATAAGTCAACAGTACTAGTCTTCTATTTTTAAAAACGCGTGTAAAAGTAAGAAGGACAAAAGATACGAAACTTTAGAAACTCGTATTACGTTTAATAATAAATTATATTTAATTATTTATAAACAATAGTTATTATTCTATAAATGTTTTGGGAAACTTAGAAGAAGAATTTTATTTTAATGCTAGAATAGGAGTGTAAAAAAGAAATGTGATTTTCTTTACATAACTTGAAAGGAATATTGCGTAATCCCCTCAAATGCTAAAGTATTCAAGACAAACGAAAGAAAAATGCTTCCACAAAATGTTCTAAAAATAAGTACTGAAATTTTCTACGGGAAGGAATTAAGGCAGATAACGCAATTAACAAATTTTGATTTGATAAGGGGGTTAATAATATTTTTTTTAATAATCATTGAAACAGTAGTCGCTATTCATAAAAGAAAATAGATAAATATCGTCCATTTTACATTCCCCTCTGGTCTTTTGAACAGGAGTAGATGTTTATCCCTTGTTTCCTCTTTAAAATTGGGTTTTCGCTTCCTTCTAAAGTCATTCTCTTTCACCCCTGTTTAATGAAAATATCGCCTTGCTTTGGATGAATTGATTAAAAATATATATGTATATCATGGCAAACTTTGTTAGTGTGCAAAGACATTTTGGTACAAACGTTAGCAATATGTTTGATTTAATTCATTCATACCGTAATTTTTTATATGTAAATATAATGTAATAATATAAATTTTTCGAAGACTGAGTTTAGAAAAAATAGCTACATTCGTTTTTGAAATTTTTTAGTGAACAAAAATTCAATCTGATACTTAAAAAATTAATATATATTTTCTTAAACACAAATGAGCACAAAGCATCAAACTATTTTGTTTCCTCCGCATAAGATACGGTACTTTGGCTTTCGGTGCCGCATTTGCACATTTGAAATTCATACTATTGTTATAAATTGAAATGAACTATGCATACCTATTTAAATATATTGTTTGTGTATATCTTGCACACACACATACAACAAAACGTTCGTTTTCTAGCCATGAGACATAAATGGTCTATTAGAGATGATTATAATATATATTAGAGGTTATATCGGCCTGAGGAGGCGACCCCAGTACGCGGCAACTTTGGAAAGTGCCTGAAAACCATACCATGGATTAACCTAAGCCTTATGATTGAAATTGGTTAGCTGGAACCGTTCGGAAGCCGTCGATGGTTGTGCTAGCACGAAGTCACAAGTCATCATGACCGAGGAGCTTGAGCATCCTGGCTTCTCTTTAGATTATGTGCCATCTTCCAGAAACTGTAACTAATGTCCGCTTAGCATAACTGCTGTATAAACCACCACTGTGGAGTGGAGTAATGGGGATTTGCTAACTCTGCCCTTGTAGACGGGTTTGCTCGGAAACGAGCTCTTCCGCAGGATACGAACCTGCGTCCCTTTACCGTTAAATCCGATAGGCTCTGACCAAATGAGCTACAAAGAACTAATCAGTCAAACAAGGCCGAAATTTTACCTTTAAGAGAAAACTTCTCTTGTCATAGTCCTCCTTAAATTTTTCATATCTGCAGTTTCGTATCCAAACGTAAACAGAGAATTTTCTAATGAATAAATACGACATATTATTTATCACTTTAAACGTTATTTTAGTGGATACTCGTATTTGAGTAGACGCTTCATTTATTTACTAAACAGTATATTTATTTTCGTAATATCCCTTAATTAACCAAATTCGTATAGATTAAAAATTGCCGCCTAAATACATCCAGCATATATATATATATATATATATATAGATAGATAGATAGATAGATAGATAGATAGATAGATAGATAGATAGATAGATCCGATACAAGCACATTTGCGATCAAATTTTGGGATAAAAAATGCCCCGTATGTACCGAAGATTACGGTAACTCTCTTCGTGCGCAGTTATAAATCAGTTTGTTATAACAAAGCAAAACTCATGACATATCAGTGATATGAAAACCCATTTCTAGAGTATCATGTTTTGCTACCCTCTTACTGCGACTTGTGTAAATGAAAATTCTGACAAATTTTCCCGCTCTTTTGTAGATATGGAACAATGGATCTGAATGGTGCTGCGCGTAGGAAGAACGCCACCCGCGAAACGACAAATACTCTTAAGGCTTGGTTGTACGAGCACCGGAAAAATCCTTATCCTACGAAAGGAGAGAAGATTATGCTGGCGATCATTACAAAAATGACATTGACCCAAGTGTCCACATGGTTCGCCAATGCCCGACGACGGCTGAAGAAAGAAAACAAAATGACTTGGTCGCCACGCAATCGGTGCGGAGACAACGACGACGGAGATGCACGGGACAAAGGTGGCGATAGTGACAGTGAAGACCTCAAAGACAAAGACAATGACCTGAAAAAGATGGATGGACTTGATTCAACAGACGGTACATGATCTCTCTCTCTCTCTCTCTCTTCCTCTCTCCCTCTCTCTCTCTCTATCTATCTATCCCTCTCTCTCTGTATATATATATATATATATATATATATATATATATATATATATGATATTCTTCATACACGTATTTATTGATTGTACATTTACGTGTGTTTGTTTAATGTATATACTCATACATATGTAGTAGCCTCATTTAATTTAGGCAAACGAGTGTGTATGTTTAGAAATTAACATTATTCTGGCTTATTTAAAAAGAACATCAATGTCTGCAGACATTAATCTACTTTTTGCTATTTTGACAGATATGCATTTTAACGTGAATTATTTAGACCCAGTAATATTGGGTTGGAACAAAAGTTCGTAGCGTTTTTCAGTACGTGGCGTTTGAACGCGAGATTTTGGTTCACACGTGACTGAAATTTATAAAATGTACACATATTCTGAAAGGTTCAATGTAACGTTCTATAAAATTTTGGATTTTAAATGTTTTCACGTTAAAAGTGAATATGGAAGAAACCTTATTTCATTTGATGCGCTTTTATTTCCAAAAAGATATGTGTTGTTTGTGGTGATGGTACCATAGCTGAGTGTACTGTTCGTAATTGGGTGGTAAGTGGAAATTATGATCTGGAGGACCGACAACGTTCTGGAAGACCACTAGTCTTTGATGCTGACGAAATTGAAGCGCTGATTAAAAATAATCCAGGTCACTTGACACGAGACATCACAAAGATATTCCACATATCTTATATGACCGTTGTAAATCATTTTTATGCATTTGGATACATGAATCGCAATGACGCCTTACGATTTAACGAGAAAGATAAAAAAAAATCTTAATGGACCGCTGTTATCGGCGATAAACTGAATACATCACAATTTTTAAAAAGAAAGATCGCAAGCGATAAAAAATGGATTGTTTATAACAATATGCATCGAAAAAGGTCCTGGGGAAAATGAAATTACCCCAACAGCAAGTTTACATCCGAAGAAAGCGATGCTTTATATCTAGTGGGATTATTACGAGCAAAATCAAATGTCGGATTGAAACCAGTAGATTTCCCAATTGAACCACGATTAAAGGCAACAGTCATTGAAAAACGATTGGGATTGTCCAGTCGGAAGGGTTTCGTCATACATCAGGACAACATCAGACCTCACATTACTTTGCAGGCGCGAAAAAAAACTGGTGAGACTTGGTTGGTATCTCTTACTACACCCGCCGTATTCACCTCATCTTGCACCTTCGGATTATCATTTATTTTGATCCCTGCACAATTCTCTTAACAGGAAGAACTCCAATCCTCCGGAAGTCAGTAAAAATTATTTATACCAATTCATCACCCAGAAAAATACCAAGTTCTGGGAGGATGGAATCATGAAGCTACCACAAAGATGGCGAAAGGTATGTGGTTGAATAAATGGCACATATGTGGCTGAGTAAATCTCTGTACAAATATCTAAATACTTCTTTGAAATTAATTTTAAAAAGTTACGAACTTTTGTTCCGAAGCAATAAAATGTTAATATCGTTATGAAATATTTTAAGGACATGTGAATTATCTACGATTTATGATAAATAACAGGTACTGAAATAAATAAAAGGAAAGAATAATCATTAATATCTAATATTTCAACCGAAATTTTTAATGGGACATCATATTTACAAGGCACTGATAAAATTAGATTCTTACTGCTTCCAGAGGCGGAAGGTGATATATATTAACTATTAAATATTAACCGAGGGATAAATTTTTCAACCGAGCACTTGCACGAGGCGAAAAATTTGGATTTTCAACTAATTTCATAATTTTGATCATTTTTCGTCAATTTTGGGCTAATAAGTCAGACCAAGAAATTTTCCTTGTAACTGAGGAGGCCCAGTGGAGTAATGGATAGCGGCTCGAACTGGGTACGGATTCCAGTCGAATTCATTACATGCACTTACGTTCTAATACCCTTGGGAAAGGTATGAATCCTCTTCTTCCCATCCCCAGCTATGGGTAAATAGCAGAACAGACCGGGCTCTATTGCCTTGTGCCTCGCAGGAAGAAATGGGAACCTACTGCGGGAAAAAAATCTGCCTCGTCAGTCATGTATCGAAAGATACATGATCAGCTAAGCGTGTACTACGCATGACACATAACTGAACATGTTATCTTAGAGATAATACGCTTTAGTAGCTTTCTTGTTCCAGGTGTTTGTTGTTACAACCTTTTGCTATAAGTTCTCGATGAGGATTGAGGTTCGGCAATTGAGCGATCAACTGCAATAACTCAATGTTCCTGTCTTCAGTGTTGGTTCTGACTAGTACTTACACCTACTTGATTTTGATATCCCCAATATGTAACATACAACTTAGTCTGTTTCTTTTATAAACAACCATGTATTCTGTCTTCTTAATTCTTCAAGCATTTCTCAACCATCTTATTTAATAGTTCCTTTGTGTTTCTTCTGAATCTCATCAGCAAAGTGTTATCTACTTCGTCGTTCTTTTTGCGAATATTTCTTAATACAGATTTATTTTTACTTACAGAAATAACATTTTGCAACAGACTATCGAATTATGGTAACTTTTTTCTGGGTGTATGTGTATCCTTGTGCGTAGTAGTAGATATTCTGATGAAATTTTCAGTTGTTTCGTAGTAGCATTCATACAAACTCGACGTGTTTGTCTCAGATTCAGAATGTGACGAACTTTCCGATATGATTCTGTGTGGTAAGAGTCCCGTGTAAGAATGTTTCATTTATTAGGGACACACACGTTGCTCCTGTTGTTCAATTCAATCCATTTGAGATGACGTGGATTGTAGCTCTTTACAAGGCTGGGTCATCAGTGCGATGAACTGATGCACATATCAGATATGATGCGTTGGTTGTGTTTTGATATTAATGTTCAAATGAATATTCCTATATTCATTCAAATGAATATTCCTATATTCATTCAAATGAATATTCCTATATTCATTTGAATGTCAAATTTGTATGAGTTTGTATGAGTGTTACTACCTCACAAGATGGCTGAAGACTGAAAATTTTGTCAAAATATCTAAACATACATATATTGAATACCCGATAAGGTGTTGCAAAATTTTATTTCCTGTAAACCAGGTCCCGGACGATTACATAGTACGGATGCTTTCTAAAATCGCATTGGAAGAGCATTAGTGACAGACTGTGTCCACAAAGCAGAACAAATGTGACTGTTGAGAATCGTTTAGTTGCAGCAAAACTACCAGTGTCGTGCACGCATCAAATTGTGTCGAGAGTGAAGATCGAATAGCACTGTAGTTTTCAGGGGTGAGAGCAGGCATTTTCATTTTCTACCAGTGCTATATCTACCAATGTATAAACTCGCACTTACAGATGTACATATAAATATAGTGATACAACACCGTGTATTCATTACATATATTATGTGTACTTGGGCAGAACACCTTCATTAATATATGTTTGATTAAAAGGCAGTAGATAAACATGTTAATATATCATCTTTTCGTTTTATATTTTGTATAATAAATTTCACCCAATACAATACTGAAGAGACACTCAGGGTAGAGGGTTACTGAATGAGATGCGTGATATGAACTAATTATGAAATATTATGAAGATTATAAAGATAAGGTGGGAGTAAATAAAGATTAATGCCTGAGGTAAAGCGGTAAACTTCGAACATACATGCGGATGTTTGCTCCATAAAGTAACAGTTATCGGGGGAAAATCTGTCTTCCTCCTTACAAATGTAATACAGGAGAAATGTGGGTGATTTGATTAGCATAGCAAGTCCTAGCTGTGAAAGTCTGAACTGGTAGCGGTTAGTAAAGAGGTTGAAGAGTGAAAATTGAGCCTCCCCTACGTTAACTATTTTGATTTCTATCCAAGCTAGAAAGTGACATTTGGGGCAGCTCCAGCCCAGATATGACAGCAATATCCCATTTTCGGTCTAATCTGAGCCTTGTAAAAATAAAGCATAACAGAAGTCAGATTGTATTTGAAGCAGTACAAGAGACCGAATATTTTCCCAACATATTTATCGATATGCATCTAATTCATATGCTGGCCATAGAACTATCATCATGCCCAGTAAACAAACTTGTCGCTTATCTAGTCAGAGCAATCCAGTTTATCATATTAAAACGAACTTTTTTGGCAAGTAAATATTAAAGTACTATTAAAAATTATTGTTTTCCGAACTAATGCTAATTAACCGTTTCTCTACAGGAAATATTCGGCATTCATTGCCCGAACTCTTAGATTTACTATCGGTTGAAATCCATAAAATCTTTTTATTAAAACATTTTTTCAGGAAATTAGATTTCTCACGCACGCCATACAAAATGCGTTCAACGTACATTATTGTCTCTTATCGCTGATGAGAATTTTCTTCCAAAGTTTTGTTTAAGGTCGTGTGGAAACATCGTGATTATATCCTTATCTTCCCTTCTATATACATATACTAGATATTTTTGTTGCTATTGCTGTTAGAAGTTTTCAAGTGATGTGGTTTTCGTTATTTGGTAAAATAATTTGTGATTTAGTAGCGTCAGTCTATAAAATCCGATGAACGTTTGTCTTCTTTAAGACCGAAAGATTCATTTGTTTGAAGCTACTTTTAATCATTCATCACAGAAAACAGTTGTATACATATGATAGTTTAGACATTTCTGAATGATTTGGATGAACTGATCTACAAACGAGATATCCGAAGTGTTTAGAATTTATTAATTACACTATGTGCTATCAGTATTCTTATTCCAATTTCAGATCATATTTTCTGTTTTGTAAAGATTTATCTGAAGTCCTCTTGTTTTCTTTTGTTTTGTTTTTTTTCCAAGATCATTCTTACACAATCTGTGAACGCCGATCTATCACTTAATTCAGTCTAATTCCGAACAAAACAATAATGTTTCTGGATATTTGTTTGCTTGTGTTTTAATTCATCCATTAATTCATCTGCTGTTCTTGCGGAAAACCCAAAAAGACACTTTA